AGTCACAGCCATCCAACCATGAGGGTGAAATAACCCTCAAGTTAGGCCTCTCAGAAGGCTGCCTTTTGGATTTCCATAGGTAAACCCCCCTCCTGCCCCTGCACGAGGAATCATGCGTGACTTTCCCTGACTGAGTACCACAAGACCCCTAAGTTTGAAAGTAGGGGCTTGCCCTCATGCATCTGGAACGCACATGCATACCAACCACCACAGTAAAAATGAATTCACAGTTAAACATATCTAGACATCTGAAGGAATAGTACATCATAAATAAGAATCAACAGAAAGTCAAATGACATTAAGCCCCCTGCTCAAGAGCTTCACTTATTTAAAATAGCAGCTAAAAACGAGTATGTTTGAAACCATTTTTAAAGCCTAAAAAAAAAAGAAAGAAAGGAAGGAAGGAAGGAAGGAAGGAAGGAAGGAAGGAAGAAAGAAAGAAAGAAAGAAAGAAAGAAAGAAAGAAAGAAAGAAAGAAAGAAAGAAAGAAAGAAAGAAAAAAGAAATGGCAGTGTGAGACAGTAAGATATTGTTTAAAGGACAGTGTGAAAAGCAGCTCAGTCAGTAAAGTGCTTCTCTCTTAAGGATGTGGACCCAAGTTTGATTTCCAGATGTAGACCCAAGTTTGATTTCCAGAATCCACACTGAAAAGGTGTAGTGATTCAGGTCCTAACAGCAGTGCTGGGGAGAGGGCCCCTGGGGCTCCCTGGCCAGTCAGCTAAGCATACTGGGCAAGTTCAGGCCAGTGAGAGACCCTGTCTCAAAACTCAATATGGCCGGGCGGTGGTGGCGCACGCCTTTAATCCCAGCACTTGGGAGGCAGAGCCAGGCGGATCTCTGTGAGTTCGAGGCCAGCCTGGGCTACCAAGTGAGTTCCAGGAAAAGGCGCAAAGCTACACAGAGAAACCCTGTCTCGAAAAACCAAAAAAAAAAAAAAAAAAAAAAAAAAAAAAAAACTCAATATGGCAGAGCTGGATAACAATGCTTAGTGCTCCTTCAAAGCACCAGGACCCACATCAGTCTGCTCAGAGCCATCTACTCCAGTTCCAGGGGATCCTATGTCCTCTGACCTCCTCAGGTACATGTGATACATGTAAACTTACGCTGGCACACACAGAGACATAAAATAAGTAAATTTTAAAAACAAATGTGTAAGATGACTGTACTCACACCAAAGGTTGACTTGGAAAGCTTCCACACACATACATGCACCTACATAAACATGCACCCACAGGAGCACACACACTCAAAAGGCTGTTAAGGGAAAAGCTGAATGTTGTAAAGGGCCACTAGCAGTTCCCATAATTCTTAAAAGGTGAATTAAAATTCTTTAAAAAGATCAAGATATCAATAAAATGGATAAAATGGCAAGTTAGGCAAAAGTAAAGAAAGTGCTAATGAATTTAGAAGACAGATAAATATATTGATATAAAATACATAAAGACTATGAATGGCCAAATCACAAGAGAGGAAATGACCTGCTACAAAAAAAAAAAAAAAAAAAAAAAAAAAATGTGTGTGTGTGTGTCGCAAGCAATCAAGAAAATGAAAATGAAAACAAAACCTGAGATACAATCTTACACTCCATCAAATCAGCAAAAGGCAAGGAGAGCCAATGTCTGTGAAGGCCAAGCATTGGCGAGAATCTTGAGCAGCAGACACCCTCACACTGCTGAAGGAAGTGTAAGCTCTTACAAGCGTGGTGCCAGGCACAATAACGGACCCCAAAAGATGTCCGTGTGCTAGTCCTTGTAACCTGTGCACATGTTCTATATTACTGCATTCCAGATAGAATTAAAGGTACTACACCAACTAAGGAAACAACCCTTAGGATTCGTTCCTAAAAGCCAAAGAGAGTAGGCAAGTGAGATGCATCGTTGGATAAAAGCTCCTGCCAGGCAAGCCCTGATGGCATGAGTTCAATCCTTGGAGCCCATGGTGGAGGGAGAGAATCAACTCCTGGAGGCTGTCTTCCAATCTCCACACACATGTCATGGCATACACATGCACATACGTAACGACTAAAATGTTTTAAAAGGAAGCGGGAGAGAGAGGCAGAAAATGGAATCAGATGAAGAATGATGACCACAGAAAGAAGCAGGATCACAGTGTCACCATGTTTCTAGCTTTGAACGTGATGGAAGGGTCCACAAGCCAGGAAATACACACCAGACTCTAGAACAATGGTTCTCAATCTGTGGGTCATGATCCCTGTGGGCGACAAATGACCCTTTCACAGGGGTTTCCTAGGACCCTCAGAAAACACAGATATTTACCTTATGATTCCTAACTGTAGTGAAATTACAGTTATGAAGTAACAATGAAATAGTTTCATGGTTGGGGGTCACCATAGCATGAGGAACTATATAAAAGGGTCGCTGTGTTAGGAAGGTTGAGAACCACTGCTCTAGAAGCCAGAAGAGCCAGAGAAATGGCCTGGAGACTCTGCAAGGACTATGGCAGCCTTGCCTACACCTTTAGTACCATGCCGTTCTTGTCAGGCTGCTGAAAACAGAAGCTAACAAATCTGAGTGATTTCAGGCCTTTTCCTGTTGATTTCTTCTGGAAACCATAGAAAGTGATGTCTTTCAGCCACAAAGAACATTAACAAATCAGTTCCCCGGGATAGAAGAGCAGGCAGGAAGAATACAGATAAGAAGTCAGTTTGAATGAAAATCAGCATAACGTTGAATGGAACAAAACAGTTTGCCGAGGGGTCTGTCTACAGTGTACCTATCCATGTAAAATTATAAGGCGGGCAAACAGCTATAAGATGTTCATTGATGCACATGTGTAAATAAGATATAAAAACATTCACAGCAATGAGACATGCTAACTTCAGGGCGATGATTGCCTCTGAGGAGAAAAAAACCACTGGTCAGGAAGCACTTGTGGCACAAGGTGAAGTTTTGGTAAAGCTGGGTGATGGGTAGGTACTCCATTGCTCCTTTCATCACTTATGCTTGCCCGTGGGTTTGAAACATTTCGTATTAAAAAGAACATATACATTTATGAATGGAATTTTTATAGGATTTCTTCATCCAGATTTGCTCATCTGTTTAAAAAAAAAAAAAAGATCAATGATTTTGCACTTTTTTTGTGTTTATTTTATTGAAATTGAAATTAGTTGAAAATGAGTAATCTAGGGGTTTCCCCTCCAAAGCACCCAGGGCCTTTGCTGCAGATGGTACTAAAAGTCACACGGCAGTTTCTGTCCCAGATTCTCACTCCAGTCCCATTCAATGTGACTTTTCCCATCAGCCGACCAGTGTGCATCCACAGCCAAGTTCTATGACCTATTGTGTTCTGCATCAACTGCACATTGAATTAGAATTTCCTGGATTTAAGGAGAAGCTCTATATAAATATTAATAAGCAGAACCCAAACAAAATAAATTGCTTGGTATTAAATTTTTGAAAACAGTGATGGGAAAAATTTCTTTTTAAAAAAATTATTTTATTATTTTATGTATACAGGTGTCTTGTCTGCAAGCACAAACCAGATGCCTATGGAAGCCAGAAGAGGGCGTGGGTCCTCTGTAACTGGAGTTATGGATGGTTGTGAGCTATTATATGGATGCTGGGATCAAACCCCAGTCCTCTGGAAGAGCAGCCAGTGCTCTTAAATGCTGATCCATCTCTATCCCAGGAAAAATGTTATGTTTTAGTTTTTAGTTTCAGTTTGAGACGAGGTCCTGTCTTGAACTCATTATATAGACCAGAACGGGCTCAAACTTGTGGTCATCTTCCTGCCTCAGTACGGCTCTTTCAAATTCTTTAAAAAAATTAAAAGTATTTCCAAAATCTTTTATTCTGTAGACGAATTGATAAGACACGTTTGAAACTAATTCTATGAAAAAAATCAATCCTCAATTTTTTTTACCCAAATATGTTGTTTGTCTGTTTTAACTGAATATAAATACTGGTATTCTAGAAATCCAAGCTTTCTTTCCTTAATGTTCATAATTAAATGTCTTTTGTGTGTTAACATCTCTCCATCACATACTGAAGGTTTACATATGTGTAGTTTCTGCTTGTTTGATTCTTTCTGTGCATGTTTTTTCTGTGAATAAAGCTAACTTTAAAGTAGAAATAAACCATGAACTGAGTTGGGGTAAATGTAGCCCTTTGAAGAGTGCTTCCCTGGCATGTGTAAGGTTCAACCCCAGCACCGCTGCCACAACAAAATGTGTAAACAGAATCAAGAAAGTGTTCTTCTAGAAACCAAATCCTCTGAGACACTTAAGTAAGCACTTGACAGCGTTTTTTTTTTGGGGGGGGGGGGAGATAACATAAAGCGGTAAGCAGCTGTTCCCCACGTGTTGGTGCATTTAAGTCCCTACAGTTTATGGAAGATTTTTTTCCTCAGGTTTTACCATTTTAAATGCAGTTGTCACACACGTCTCTAAGGCAAATCACATGTGACAAACAAGCTGAGTGTAAATCCCCCTTGAAATAGGGCAGAAATCAAGGATTTAAATTTGCATTGCTACCTTTTAAACTATTCATAAAAATAAGGCATAGCTTCCATATGTCCATTGTTTCAAGCACGCCCCCCACCCCTCAGGAATGTGAGCACATTCCTATGCACATTTTTTTGGTTCAGTTTCCTTTAGGTTCACGCTTATAACACTGCTCACTTTTCACTTCAATAGTATCCAAGTGTTGCGTCTCACCAGGAATTCTTTATCGGAATTGTCTCCTTAGGGTGTGGTCTGGTTACTGTTAAGTGTGCCTCTAACTCCCGTGGAGCATTACTCAGGAAAAATTTTCCTTAGATAATAATGCTGGTTATATCATAACCTTGTGAAATCACTTGGACTCGTGCGTCAGTGACTAATTTTTTTTTTTTTTCAGAATGAGCTAGTCTGTTAATTTTAACAGAACATTTGGCTGTTGACTGTACTGCTGAAGTGCAAAGATTATTGCATTGACAATGATGTTATTTCTATTGCTTTGAGGTTGATAAAGTCGATGTTTCTTTTATTGTCCTCCCAATAGGAAATGCCATGCTGTTGAGGGTGCTACCTGCTGTGTATGAAAAGCAGCCCCAACCAATCAACAGACACCTGGCAGAACTCCTGGCCTTGATGTCTCAATTGGAGCAGACAGAGCAGTACCATCTACTACGGCTTTTGCATGTGGCAGCAAAGAGGAAAGATGTGGAGGTAAAGAAGTGTACTGCGTCTGCTTGATCTCCGCTGCATACGATACACACTCACTGTGACAGCCCACACAGCCAGATATAGTTCTGGATCATTTGAGCAGGATTAATGTGCTTAGGATTTCCCTGTGCACACATATATAAGCAAAAGCATCTACCTGTTTATAATACATTTGTACAAGAGGAGTGTGTGTGAGTATGTGTGTGTGTGTGTGTGTGTGTGTGTGTGTGTGTGTGTGTGTGTGTGTGTGAGAGAGAGAGAGAGAGAGAGAGAGAGAGAGAGAGAGAGAGAGAGAGAGAGAGAGAGAGTTGGTTCATATCACTATGAAGGTTGTCATCTGTCCTAGAGACTCAGAAAATCCAGGGACACAGTTCTAAATTATACTTTAAAAATGCCGGAAACTAGAGGGCAGATGGTCTAGCACAAGACATCACATAGAGTGTGAATTTTCTCTTCCTTCCCTTTTCCCTTCGTTTAAGTCCCCAACAGCTTGACTGATGCCTGTCCATAACGAAGCGGAAATCTCCTCTACTCAGTCTTCCCATTCAAATGTTATTCTCACCCAAAAATATTTTCACAGACACCCTGAAACGTTTAATAAGCATCTGGGCACCCTGCGATCCAATCAAATGGACACAAAACTAACCATCACAGTTACACTGATAAAAAGCAGCAAGCGTGAATCTGCAGCCATTGCAGGGTAACTTCAATGTAATTGATGTGCAAACATGGTTCTAAGAATCTGCATTCTCACAAGCAGGACCAAGAGAAAGAGTTACACATGAGTTGATTTGTGAGTAAATGTGCCCAGAGTGGGAGCAAAAGGTCACTTTCTAGATAGCAAGTCAGTTGTCATTCTTTATATCCAAGTAGCATACTGACAATTTGGATGCTTGGAATTAGCAAACCACAGTGGTTTCAATGGTGAAAGGAATTTATAGGTAATGTGATAGTAAACAAATAACCAACAAGAACAGAAAACTTACATGAGGCTTGATCTAAAAGACCAAATAATGAGAATGAAATAATATCTCACTCTCTCTTTCCATTTCTCAATAGAAATCAGATACTGTGAGGAAGAGGTAGCTGATGTAGATATCGGAGGGCTGTGGATTCAGCCTTGGGGGGAAACGGTACAGTGAGGTCCTCTCGTGGGAGTAGCATCCAGCTAGAGCCTTAAAAATACACAGTCTGTGCCAGGGAGAGTAGAGGGACAATGGGCCTCCAGGAAAAGGAGCAGGGTTAGGAGTTACTAAACACTAAGTATAGCCTTCCCTTGATGCCCCAGGACAGAAACCAGGAAGCTGGCCCTTACCTCAGCTGCATCCTCAGAGATCTTTGTTTAGTAGATCAGGCATAAGCCATAGGCTGTTACTACAGGGATCACAAACCAGAAAATGAAGTCAGAGGCTCGGCAGGAGACTGGGAGCTGTCTGCCTCCTCTGTGCTACTTCACTTTGGTCCTTGGGGTAATAATAATAACGATAGTATGTTGTTATCAATAACTTATTGTTGTTTTTATAACTTATCCATTACTATTATTATGGCTTGTCAGCCTCTTCCATTTACTATAAACTCCTTAAAGACCATAGGACATGTCTACATATTCACAACTAGTCCCTAACTTCATGCTGGGCAGATAGTCGGGGTTCAATAAGGACTGAAGAGATAGTTCAGCAGGTAAAGTGCTTGTTGAATATGCATGAGGACCTGAGTTCAGTCCCCGTTTTCAGTCCACATAAAAAGCCAGGTGTCGTAGTAGTATATGCTTGCAATACCAGACTGAGAAGGCAAAAAGATACTGAGAGACTGAGAGACCAAAAAGCCCTGGGGCACTGGCCAGTCATCTTAGTTCAATTGTCAAGCCCCAGGTCCCTGTGAGAGACCCTGTCTCTACAAAGAGGGCCTACAGCTCCTGAAGAATACCTGAAGTTGACCTCTGGTCTCCACACAAACACACACATGGATGTGCGCATACATAAACAGGAATGCTCATGCACATATAACACACCAAAGTGGTTAGAGGAAGAGATTATAGAATAAATAAGAAATGAATTGATTATTGAATGAATAATCAAGGAAGTAGAAAGAAGCCTTAATCAACCGGGAAGAGTTGTAGTATAGTCTCCAAAGGGGGAAACATGACTCAAGAGAATCATGATCTAGAGTAGTAAAGGAGGCTTGAGATAGGAATTGACCCTGGCCTGGCCATCTGGACTCGCCAACGACCCCAAAGAATCAATGTATGTGGAGCTGTGCTGGATGGAGGCAGATGCTCATTGTGGGTTGCAGGTAGAAGAAAAGGTTAGGAAGTGACCATGTGAGTATGGACTGCCAACTCAGGAAAGCCAAAGAAAACAGGAAAAATGAATACACAATAAGAATAGAGAGACAGAAGATGTGAGAGGAAGTGCAACGTAGAACAAGACGCCAGGGTACCTTCGGCAGTGTGATTCAGATCACAAGTGCAGGAGTCAGTTTCAGAAAGGCTGAAGGACAGAAAGGCTGGGGAACATCCGTTGTAGATGAGTGAGAAGCACAACTGGGGGATCATTGAACCACCTACTAGCAGGCCCATTGAATGGGCACGATGCTGCGTTTCTTCATTACTGTCACTGCTTTAGAAAGACAACATAAATTCAGTGACTTGAAAGCACACAGATGAGCTTGGGGTTTTTCAGGCCAAAGTCCGAAATAGGTCAGCAGGGCTAATTCCCTCTGTGGGCTTTAGGGATGAGTCTGTTTCCTTGCCTTTTCTGGCTTCCAGGGACTGTTGGCTTTCCAGACACATGATCCACATCACTCTTGCCTCTCTTTTTCTTTCCACATCTCAGACACTGGTCCACCCCAACTGTCTTCTCCGGACCCTTATAATTCCATTGAGACCACCCATATAATCCAAGGGAATCTCCTCACCTCAAGATCACATCTACACAGTTGATCACATCTGGTTCTTTTAGCCACATAAGGTAGCATACTCACAGGCTACCTTAAGAAAGGGCTTGTGAGTTCCCTATGGGAAGCCATTGTCATGATTACCAGGGATGGAGCTGGGGAAGAGGTGTTTAGAAGAGAGGGAACCCTGAGTGACTAAAAGGCTAAGTATGGTGCCCATTTCATCTGTGGCCTGGCAACTAAAACAAAACAAATGTGATTTTCAGACAATGGTTCTAGAAAGACTAATTTGATCTACATCAGCTCCTCTCCCACAGGACGAGGACTGAGTGTGAAGGCAAACAAAGCCAGTGCAGGCTCAGTTAAAGGATGAGGGAAGAGAAAACGCCCTGAAGTCACTCACACTTTTAATGCAAAGAGGTCCAAGAGTGAGGATGCTCTACATGTGGCATTCCCAGAGGTTCTGTCAGAACATTACAGCTGCCAAGAAGCAAGGGAAAGGACTTATGACTCCAGTTAGGTACTTCTCACCACTTCTTGGCCTCAAAACTTCAAAAAGCTAGTCTGCGTGGTCTGCTGGTAGGTATTGTTTCATGGGCAGTGGGTATTCACAAGCATGCTGTGTTTCCTTCTAGAAGGTTCTTAGTTCACAACTCTGGTCCTGTCCTTGAGACAGCCACTAAAATGCTAAAACTTTCTCAGAATCAATCCCATTTCCCCAATTCCTGGTCCGGCTCTCCTCTAAAGTACCCTGAGATACAAGAACTATCTTGCTCTGGTACCACCCTGCTCAATGTTGGTCACAGCCAACAAAGGATCCCATGGCTGGCTTAGCACCTGGTATACAGTAGATATATTTCATGGATATTTCTCATATGGAGAAGTTAAAATTAGTGGCTAAATTTTCACTAAGGACAGACCTTTGGGGGTTACATCTACTTCATGGCCTTCCATGATGTGAGAACCCCCAACAGGGACTGAGCTTCCCAAACCATGCTTTCCACACCATGATACTCTGAAATCCTTGAAATCATGAGCTAAAATGTATCCTTCCTTGCTTAAGTTGGTTCTTTCAGTTTTCTTGTTGGAGAAAAGTAACTAAAACAGAGGTTTATTAGTGATATCTCTAATCAGTGCTGTCACTTGCGGTGTTTCCCAGGTTCCTGTTTGATTGATTGGCTGGGTTTGTCTTGTTTGTTTGTTGAATGCTGTGATTCTCACCACCTACCCTTTGTGACCAGTGAGAACATGACTCTCAGAATTGGTCAGTAGTGGGCCGTTGAGAAAGTGCTTCTCAGACCATGATCTAGCTCAGGGATTGTTCCCCTTGTTAGCCCTTCCCTCCCTGTAAAAGCAGCCCCTCTGGAGACTCCCATTCAAGGCCCTACAGAGACAGACAATTTCTCTACAAAAAGTTGATAGTCCATGAATTCTCAGCATCCACACATCTGTAAGCTCTGAGAAGCAGATGGGTGGCCAGGCACGTCTTTATCCTTCTTCACAGACACTGGGTATCATTCTTTACAGGACACTATTCTTCCCAGATAGAAAGGCAGTTCCTGGCTAGTGACTCATGGTCAGCATCCCCAGGGGAACCTCAGGATCCATTTATAGGAAAAGTCTGTGTGGTCAGTTTTCCAAGTTGCCTTTATAAGAATAAAGTCAGTGTTTTCTTGGCTGCCGTGGGACATCCTGCAGTCTAGCTAGCAAACAGGACATAATTTATTAATGTGTATGCATACATGTTATTAGCCCCAGGCATGGGCTTCTGGCCCCAGGCATGCAAAGATGAGTGACAGAGAGTGGCACGTGGAACTCTCCCTCCTCAGTGTTCAGACCCAGAGGAACTGCTTTTGCGGTCCGGTCCTGAAAGGAGAGTCATTTCCTGGGTTTCACACAACAGGGTAGAACATTCCTCTTCTCCTGCCAAATCTTACAACACCTAACACATCATCCACCAGGCCAGTCGCCAGGCCCACAAGGCTCAGGGGTCACTTTGCATAAATACTCAAAGTCATTTACAAAACATGAGAAAATTGAGTGATGGGATGTACAGACCACTCAGAGACAGTCTGCAGAGCAGAACCTGTTTCCCAGAACACCAGTGTGGAGGAAATAAGTAGTAGTAAACAGAAAGAATGGCAATCAGCTTTGTAGATTCATGGAAACTAATGAAGTCTTGACACTAACTAAGTTAACTAAAATAGAAATTTTTGCCAGAGGATGAATTTAAGTGGTAGTGTACACACACACACACACACACACACACACACACACACACACACACACACACACACACACACACACTTTGCCTTATCTTCCATATACAGGTCTTGAAATGTCATTTACTACCAACCAAACAGGGCATAATTTTCCGATGGCCCTAGTCTTCAGGTGCCCTTGGCTTCGGGGAGAGGTAGCCACAGAATTTCAACTCTGTGATGAGGCCAACATTATGAACTGCTATGAGGGATTCAAGGAGAAGAGCCTGGTGTCCAGGAAGAACCAGAGCATCCAAGGCTGAGATTCTGCCCTGGCTGTTTGCTTTGGAGAGTTCTGTTCCAAAGCCCCTGCCTGCCTGCACTCTATTTAAACCCACAGCCCGGGGCACTAGGGCCTTGGAATTTTTTTAGATACCTTGAGCCTGCCTCTGCTGTTTCTGCAGGGCAGGCTCGTGACAGCTCAAGCTGCTCCAAGAGTATGACTGACTATGGCCCTTATGAGTCCTTTGCTTGCTTATCTTACCAAAATAACAGGATTCAGGAATTGGTAAAGAGAAATGAGTTTATTTGCAGTTTGGGCCAGAACAAAAGGGGGAAAATTCTTAGTTTTCCCCATCTTTCCTGTTGTAGTCATACAATTTATAGGGGGGGCGGGGGAGTGGAACAGCCAGAAAGTGCATGTCAGTAGATTTAGCTGTGAGGTAAGCTGTCAGAACTGTGAGAGATTGTCCTGAGGGGGATCCCCTCATGGAAACAGGCTTCAAGCTATTCTTATTCTTAACATACTTTCTGGAGAAATTTTAATTTTTAGGGTCCACCTTACGCTGTTAAGTGACCTCATATTCCTGAGAAGTGGCTTAAATAAGCCTGAGATAGCCGCAGGCAGAGGAGAGGGGGTGGGGTCGTCTCTTTTACTTCCTCCACCCAGGCCAAAGATTGCAAGTCGAAATGAAGCATCACAGATTGTTACAAGGCTCATTTATCAGGTAGGAGGATTGCAAGTGCTGCTGAATATTTGGATGTGTGATGTGCAGGACTCTCTTGGTACCCTAGCCCTGGGTCCTCTGTCTATAGCGTGGGCAGAAGGGAAAGTCAAACGTAAAAGCAGGGGCTTCCTCTGTCAAGCTGCTGAAGCAGTCAGCACCAGGAAGGCCTGCCATGGGGAAGATACAGCAGAAACACCCCTAAGTGAAGATCCTGCAAGGCCACAGCTTGGGCTTCTGGCCTTGGGCCGTGAGGGAGTCTTTGAAAGTCTCTAAGGGAAGCTTGGCATCATCAGATTGGAGTTTTAGGCAAGGTACTCTGGAGGCAGTGAGGAGACTAAACAGGAGGGACAAAGAGGCCATTGGGGGCTTCTTTCAGTGGTAGGGACAGGGGGATGATGGCTATGTCAGCTTCCTCTCTGCCTGCCTTCTGTGCTGTCTCTGTGACTGCTCTTCTCCCAGCTGGGATAGGGCTTGCTCCTAGACATGAAGTCAACCCCAGAAGACGGCACTGGAGACATGGGCCCTGCGTGTGGAAGATAAAATTTCTCCTGCCAGGGCATCATTTTCAATGTGTGGGACAAACTTTGAATTATCTTTCTTCACTATCACCGTCATAATAAACTTAGTATAATAGGAATCCACAGTGAAATACTCAGCTTTTGTTTCACGTATAAAGTCGTCATTGATGTTTACAGTATCCAAGATGGCTCTACTTTCTGGGCCTTCTCTGGAGTCATCTGTCCCTCTCAGGGAGTTGGGGGACTCCTGTGCCTGGTGCCTGCCTGCTTTTCTGTTTTGTTTTGTTTTTTCTTTTTTCCTTCTTTTCTCCTTCTTTCTTTTTTTCTCCTCCGCCTTTCCCCATTTCCTTCTTCTCCTTTTTCCTTTTATCCATGGAAGAATGGACAGATACAGCACAGCCTTGTGAGACTTTGGTTATGTGGCTGGGGTTTAAATTAAAACTCAGCGTTGGCATGTAAAGAACCATGTGTCACAGAAACTTCTGGTTCCAGGAATAGGATCTGAAGGGCAAGGGCTAGGATATGGAGTTTTCTGGAAGGGGCAGGAAATGTGTGAGCATTTTCCATTTCCAAATGCCTCAGGTCAGGTATGTTTCCCTGACCCAGAGCAGTTGGCTGACATTTGTGCTGTGTGTGCCAGGGACCTCTCATGGTGTCTCCTGACATGCAATCCTTCCCCAATGCACAGGCAGCATTTACAGAGCTGCAGATGTGTGGCTTGTCAGGAACTAGCCATGCTCTTTCCTCCCAAAGCACTTAAATGACTATGAAGTTTAAATCTATATGTTAGGATGATTTTAGTTATCTTCAGACTACCCTTGGTTTGTCCCAGTTCAAATTCTATGTATGGCTCCCTTCCCATATCTGTGCTTATTAGTGATTTTATCTCACAGAAAGTCACTTTTTAAATATTAATTCTTGTATTTATACAGCAATGGGAATGTGGTGGAAATCATTTTGCTTTAATAATTATACCTTATCATGATATTCTCTGGTAGAAGTGGAGATTGAGAACAAGTGAGAAGACTTCCTGCTTTCTTGTCTCCACTATGAAGCATTTGGAATTCTCCCAAACCAGAGGCTTTAGTGGAATAAGCAAGCATTCTTACTCACTGCCTGTTCTTGTGCAGCTCTGGTGGCTGGTGAAGATTGTGAGCATTCCCGTGGCACATCCAGACTTGGCTTGGGCATCCACGACATGAGAACTTTGTGGACTTCACTTTTCAATAGCAGAGCATGACTTAAAAGGAAAGCAGACTCGGTTGCAGAAGGTTTTATTATAAATTTTAGATTCCAAAGTCTGGAGATTTACCACGAGTTTAGTAATCCCAGGAGGTGTTGCCCACTAGTGTAATATTTAGTATGTTGTTGTCCATATGCCTATAATCCCAGCGCTCAGGAGGCTGAGGCAAGAGGAGTGTTTCCAAATGAGTCCAGCCTATGCTGTGTATGGGACTGTCACAGCCAAGTTTTCTTTTGAAAGTGATTCTGATCTGACTAATGTTTCTCACTGTCTTTTCTCTTTCCTTTCTTCCTCTCCTCTCCCCTTGCAGGTGGTTCAGAAATGTGTTCCTTTCCTGATCAGGCATTTGAAGGATTCAACCCACAATGACTACATCCTAAACATCCTCATAGAAATAGCAGGCTGTGAGCCACTGGCTTTGAGCAGCTTTCTACCAATGCTGAAGGAGATTGGGGAGAGAGTCCCCTACCTCACTGGACAAATAGCAAGGATCTTTGGTGCTGTTGGACATGTGGATGAAGTAAGTTTGGCCCCTTTCTCTCCCTTTCCCTCTCCTTCCTTCCTTCTTTCCTTCCTTCCTCCCTCCCTCCCTCCCTCCCTCCCTCCCTCCCTCCCTTCCTTTCTCCCCATCTCCCTGAATTATTTAGAAACATCTCTAATCTCCAAAGCTGTCCAGGACTTCTGAGAGTTTCCATTTCTTTTTTGAAACTTTTGAGTCACCCTGGCCTTTGGATCAACATAGCAAGGGTCCGTAGAAAGTTCCAGAATTGAGAATTTCATTGCTAGTGTGTCCTTTGAGGTAGAAGGAGGGTTAAAATGGAATAGAAAATTTTGGCATAGTCAAGACCACTATGTAATGCCAACAGCTCTTAGCAGGGGTTCATCACATTATCTGTTGCAGCTGTGCTTAGCACAGGAGATTGTGAGCAGAGTTAGGTCTCGGAGACGCCCATCCCGAAAGCCCATAGCTACCACGTCAAAGAGTGCTCTGAGCATTCTTGGTGATGTTATTTGGGAGAGATAAATAAATCTTTGTGGATGTTTAGAAGTTCTAGTGTAAATATTTGCACAAGGGAGTCTTGCAAGAGTGACGGGACAGCATCAGGGGTTGTGAGCACTACACAAGGAGAGTGCATCTAGAGGTCCAGATTTTGAAGGCTGTGCATGTGAAAGCACATACACACCGTGTTTACATAGGTATTCAGAATTCTTAGTTATCTGTTAAAAAATAAAAGTAGATATATAATGGAGGTTTTCACTTAGCTGGCTTACATACAACTATCAATTCAATAATATAAAATTGCCCAATATTTTTAAAGAATCCCATAGTTCATCTAAATTTAGTGCCTTGACTCTGTATAAGATAAAGTTAAGAGTCAGAAAGAGCCTGGAGACATGGCTTAGTTACTAAGAACACAGGCTGTTTTTCTAGAAGACCCAGGTTAGATTCCCAGCACCCACATGGCAGCTCTCAAACCATCCATATAACTCCAGGTCCAGAGGATCTGACATCTTCTAACTGAGTCTGCTAACCTTGTAGTTCATTGCAAGTACCAGCAAATGATTAAAAATATTAAAAATCTAACCATTCAAAAATCCTTCATTAGCTTTAAAGTTGGAATTTTGAGAAACGTTAAAGTTCATGTGTCTTAGGATTAAGCAGCGAGTTAGTGCTGAATATGAGTGAATTTGTTCTTCCCCGCATAGAAAAGCTTGTAGTGCAACACTGTCGAAGGCCAGAGCCAAGCCGCTGGATGTATCTGCTTGTACACTTTTATCAGGCTCTTCCAAAAGGAACAAGGAGTTTCACTGAGGCACATGGAGAGTCAGCATGAGGGCCGACATCCAGTACAGCATCCGTTAGACACCTATGAGAGTCTAATATAGACGGTGAAGCAAAAACTTTGCTCTAAACAAAACTCTACTGCTGTCTATGTGGAGGACTCAGGACATGGGAAATTGGTGGAATATAGGAATGAATGAGGCATAAGATGATTGTGGGTGCTCACTATAGACAGCCACGTGACCGCTGTAAGCCCTGGCCCTTTGAGCCTCTCCTTTATCCTATATTTTATCTTATTTAAAAATTAACATAATTCGAATTTTTTCTCCTTGGCACCCAAGTAAACACTTCGGTTATGTTCAGGAGTTTGGCATATTGGGGATTCAAAAGATGATAGAAACACAGAAATGTCAAACCAAATTCCGGATCTTGTTCCAAATTTTGAGAAGTACAAACTGGAGCTGAGCGGAGGGAGCCTCCTGTTAGATCCTTGTTAACTGTCTGAATTCCAGCAACAGCATCCTAAAAGTATGCAGTCATCAGCCTGAGACTGCCATGGGGTAGAGTCAAGCATTATTATTTGGCTCATGTCTCACCTTCTGTGTCTGCATGAAGTCAGGCCTCAGATCTTTAGATGGCTGCTGGGAGCTGGACTGGATGTGATTGTCTGTTAAATCAGGGTCCATCTGGGTGGGCAAACTGTTTCAACAGCTTGGTAGCAGCCTCACAATTTTCCAGTCTGTATTGACCAGCATGGGAAAGTTGTATGCATACAACAAAACACAAAATCCTACAAAACCTGTTTCCTCTGCCCTGTAAAATTAACTCAGAAATCTTTTCTGTTCAAATTAAAAGGGCGCTGTGCTAAATTGCTGTGTTATGATCGGGTCATTGTGGGATGCCATGTAATGACTGGTAGACCGTTTCCAAGCATGTGCTTGCATCTGAAACACAATTATTGCATGAAGAGTTCAAATGGAAGAGACCAAAGGGCAGAGAAACATGCTTCTGGGGCCGCCCTATTCCATCCAGTAAAGGTCCTATCAGTTCTCCATCACTTGGGGATTTACTCTCCTCCTCTGGGATGCTCAGTTGAATAAATACACACACAAGAGATAGTAATTTAATAGACTCACCCTAACTATTGCAAAAAGTACAAAGGTCCTTTTTCTCCTTTCTCAGGGAGGAGACTGAAATGCAGTGCCCTTTAACACCAGAAATAACTTCTTAATGGCTTATCGGGGTCCATCCCCAAGCACATAGCAGGGTAGTTCATGTAAATACCTGGCATGTAACAATTGAGTTTCAATGACCACAAAACAGCAGCATAATAGCCCTGCCCATGTGGAGAAGGCCCGTAAGGGGGCTTCTTCCCACTCTAATGCATCTCTCTTGGGGTTACCTGCTTTATTCCCAAATATTGTGGCCCCTCTTCTCTCCTCTGGGCTCATCTACTATTACAGGAAACTATCCAAATATTTGTCTTCGCTCAGCCCACCTCAGCCTCCTACTTGTCCCTTGTCTCCTGACTTTCTGTCTACTTGGAATCTTAATACTTCCCTGAACACACCTTGCTCCAGCACACACCGCAGTCTGGATAGTCTTACCCCCCTCCCCTACTTACCTTGCCTACCCTAGATCAAATGCTGTCCCCTGTGTGAATTCTTGTAAGCTTTCTCAGGAAAGTGAGTCACCACAGTCTATACTCCCACAGTGCTTGGGCTGCACCTCCCATCTACCAGCCATGCTGGGTCAGTTTCTCCTCCAGTGGCTGAGATTCCAGAGAATATGAGTCACCTCCTATCTGTCTGTTGTGGTTCCTTCTGTGGCTGAGATAAAGCCCTCTGACCAAAAGCAGCTTGGGGAGTAAAGAGTTTAAGTAGTACTCTTCCAAGTCACAAGTCAGCATTAAGGGAAGTCAGGGCAGGAACTCCAGGCAGAAACTTAGAGGCAGGAATCAAGGAACAGTGCTGTTTGCTAAGATGCTTTCTGGATGGCTTTCTGGTGTACAGACTCATGCTCACCTCGTTGCTTATATAGCCAAGTCCAGCTCTCCGTAGGGTACCACCCACAGTGGGCTGGTCTCTCCTGCATCAGTTAATAATCAAGACAACCCCAACCTGATAGGGATAATTACTCAATGGAGCACTTTTTGTTAGAAGATTCTAGGCTGTGTCAAGATGACAGTGAATGCCAATTCGGAGAGCATCTGAATTCACTTGTGGCCAAAAAAATGAATGAGCACTCAGGAGTGCTATTAATTAATAATTTGAATGCTGGATTCTTATTTGACAATTTTGTTTGATCACATCATTCTCTAATTCTTCTAGGGGACATAGTTATAACAAGAGAGGAAAATAACCAAATCACATTGTATCAGACATATATATGCAAACATTATCAATTAAAAAATAAGGTGAGGGTTGGGGCAAATAGCACAATGTTTAGCATGCACATAATGCACATAGCCCTAAGTTCAATATCTTGTACTACAGTGATTAAATAAATAAACGGATCATTTAACAACAGAGGAGGATGAGATATTAATATGGAGAGGTGGAAAACTTTAGAACTTACACAATTTATCCCTGGTATCTAACTAATGAAAAATGACAGAGAGGATCAATATCCGGAAAGCATGTGACAGAAACATGACCATCTATGATACCAAAGGACCCTGCCTCCCTGAATGGTGGCCTAAATGGACAATAATTCTGAATTGACCATGAAAATGAGTGGCCAAGAGCCCCAGGCTGAAAATTCTCAGAAGTGCAGCTACAAGAGGGTCCACTCATCTCTTTGATGAATGTAGGATGATCACCAGCAAAGATGTCTCATGAATGAGCTTGCTAACTATTGGGGCCATCCGCACAGTATCACGCGGTGACATGGGATTTCATGCCACCCTGCTTCGGTTTCAATCCTAACTCGCTCACTTACCAGCTATGTGGCCTTGGGTAAATCAATACAACTTTTCTTGACTCACATTCCTCATCTGCAAGTTAGGAATTAGTGATATTATTCACCTCATAAGTTGGTTGTGAGTTTAATGAGTTAAACTGTAAGTCAGTGTCTAGAAAGTAATGCATAACCAGGAGATGTCAGCACTTTCTGCCTTTCCTGGTTGTTGTCTGATACTTTTTCATCGTATTTGTTAGTAGACAAGCTGAAACTTGGGCCTAAGACTGAAATTAGGAAGACAGCAACCATATAAATGGCGGGTTTTGGCATAGGTTCTGCAACGTTGAATGGATGTGTATATGTGGGACAAGTCAAATTATGGGTGAAGAGAATTAGAACAAATCACCAGAGACACCTACAGGCATCATTAAAGATGTAGTGCAGAGCCAATTACCTTCACCTTTTTGAACAAACTACCACTCTATGTGATGTCTGCTGTATATTGATATTTATAATGATAGACATCTTTCCGGGGACAATAAGAATAACAGAAATATAAGGGCATATTTCATGAGTTTCACCTTTAGTTCTTGAGACACTAGAAACACACTGCTTTCTATAAATGGCAGGTGGTCCCAGCCTCTCCCCACCTACAAAAATCACTCAGTATGCTCATAGCAATTTTTATCTTTAAACTCTCATTAGTAAGATGTTAAGGGGGCTAAATTGAGTCCAAAGTGGGGTGTCATTCTTGTCCATGGAGGATAAAAGCTGAATGTTGTTCCAATTACAGAAGATTTTTTTCCCCGTTCATTTCATTTCTTTCTTTCTTTCTT